TCTTCTTCTTCTTCTTCTTCTTCTTCTTCTCCCCCTCTTTTCCACACCCGCTAGACCCCCCACCACTCACCCTTATTTCTCATTCTTCTTCTTCTTATTTTATTATTATTATTAATATTATTATTATTATTATTATTATTATTATTATTATTATTATTATTATTATTATTATTATTATTATTATTATTATTATTATTATTATTATTATTATTACCATTATTATTATTGTTATTCTTATTCTTCTAGAAGAGGAAATAAAGGGTGAGGGGTGGGGCAGGGAGATTGGAAGTGGGTGGAGGAGAAGAAAAAGAAGAAAGAGAAAAAGAAGAAGAGAGGAGGAAGAACGAAGATGGATGATGATGGTGATGATGGATGATGGATGATGATGATGGTGCATTAATGTAACGGAGAAAGGGGGAAAGACGGAAAGGGGACGGAAAACCTCCCCTTAGTATATTTTTTCAAAATCTGGGGTACCTGATAGTATATTTTGAAAAATAGAGGTACCTGGCAGTTTTTACAACAAAACATGAGGTACCCGGCAGCAGTTTTTTGTAGATTGTGCCGCCCTCTGTCCTATGATCCTATCTCCTTCACTCAAATAAACTTTTAAAAATTATAAATTGAACCCCATTTATCTAGTATATTTGCTAATTGGTCCAATACAATTAATATTAAAAAAATATAAGAGAGTATTGACATCGGTTGTTATAAAACACCGATGCCTTTGTTATATTAATTAAAAACTAAAAAAATAATGGTATTAGAATTGTTTAAAAAAACAACCGATGCCTTGGTATTTTTTAAGAATTTCGAAACTTTAAATTTTGGTTTTAGCATCGGCTCTAGTAAAACACCGATGCATTTGTTTAATTTTTGAGAATATTGAAAAATAAAAAATAGGTATTAGCATCGGTTGTTTTGTATAACCGATGTCATTGATCTATTGCATCGGGTTTTGCAAAATAACCGATGCTAATACGTATTTTTTTCCAAATTTTATTTAATAACAATCAATTGCATCGCTTTTGAAAAACAATCGATGCCTTTGCTCTTTTCCATTAGTTATTTTTTATGCGATGCAATTGAGGCAGTCTTTTTGCCTTTTTTTGTAGTAGTGATACCAATCAACTATGATCAATATAATATGATTTATGGAAATAAAAATAATGTTTTTGATGAATAAAAACCTTATGTGATGTATGACGGTAAGCTAGAGTGTTAACACTCGATGCTAGGCCGCTAATTGTTATTATTATTGATTCATTATGATGAATATTATTGATTTATGAATATGATGATTAAATTTTAATATTCTCATTTAAGTAATGTTTATGAATTATTAAATCATGACTAAAAATAGATATGTTGATGGTCACGGAAATGATGTGTAATATTAAGGATATCTAGAAGAACTCTAAGATATACCTATGTGACCAATTCAGAAATTTGGGGTTAAAACGTACGTACGGGATCCAAAACGGATATCACCCACTGGACAGTTCACTATTCGGTTGGTACGTAATCAAGAAGACTCATAGCGTGGATTATTGATTCCAGTGTTCTGCCTTACACTATTTATAGTTTTGGAGCCTAGTTAGAAATATTGTCTTAGTCTAGGAATAGCTAAGAGCTTGTTATAAAAATGATTTGGCCTTAGATTAAGAACAGTTTAAGAGCACTGTAGAAATACTGAATATGAAATATTGTATACATGTATCATGAAATGACTTGGATTAAAATATTGTGAATATCATGAATGATGCTTGAATTAATGTGTGCATGATATCAAATGGTTGATTATGAATTGAGATTCAATTTATATGGATGTTCGACGCATTAGATATGCTTACTCAGCTTTATTGCTGAGTGTGTAGTATGTTTTATTTGCTACACGCAAGTAAACGTAACAAAAAGAATGAAGTTACGAGTTCCTGGAGATAGATGAGGCGAGACTATCGTGATGGAAGTGTGGATTTAAATAATTAATCATGATTGTTATGACACATGTTTTAAATTCGCTTCCGCATTATTAAACACTCCATATTTCTACAGTTATGTATTGAATATTATTTATGATGAATAAAGATGTTTGAAATGTTTTAAATTTTTACGATTACCAAGTTAATACTTTAGTCCAAAAGGGGATACATATCTGGACGAATTAGGGTGTTAGAACAATAATAACATGTCATTTTGTTATCACAATATTCATCATTTGCCACACATAATTTCATATCGAGTTTTATCACAAATAATTGCTCTTAACTTATTCTTAGTCTAAAGCCAAGTATTTTTAACCAACTCTTAAACTATATTCTAGTTTAAGGTACTACTAACCAAATCTTAAACTATATTCTAGTTTAAGGTACTATTAACCAACTCTTAAGCTAATCTAGTTTAAGTATAATTTTTAAAAACATTTTCCAACTCTTAACCTATTGTTAGCTTAACGTACACAAGGAACCGAACTGCAGCCTGCTCACCGTCGGGTTGGGTGGTAACCCCAAATGAGTGATCCTCTTGTTTGGTTTACGGATCCCGTACGTACATTTTTACCCAGGTTACCGAATATACATATTTATACCCACAAGGCCTGTAACACCCTAATCCGTCCAGGTCTGCAGCCCCTTTCGGACTAACGTATTAATTTGGAAATCATAAAAATTTAAAACATTTCAACACTTTTATTCATCATAAATATTATTCAGTACATAACTGTAGCAAAATACGGAGTGTTTAATAATAGTGCGGAAGCGATTTAAACCATGTTTAATAACAACGCAATTATTTATTTTAAAATCACAAATTTCACCACGACAGTCTCGCCCCTTCCGCTGCCAGGAACATGCCAATCATTCATTCTGCCTACCTGCGTGTAGCAAATAAAACACACTACATGCTCAGCGGTGAAGCTGAGTAAGCATATCTAAAGCGTCGAACATCCACATAAATTGAATCTAAATTCACAAACAACCATTTGATATCATGTACACAATATATAATTCGTTCATGATATTATCAATATTTTTATTTCAATATCTCAATATTCAACATTCATATTCAATATTCAATATTCAACAATATCCTTAAACTATGCTTAGTCTAAGGCTAGTTCCATTCTTAAACTGATTCTAGTTCAAGATATTCTAATCCTTAAGCTAAGCCTAGTTTAAGATATATTTTTAAAAAGAGTTTTCAAATCTTAAACTTACCTTTACTTAAGGTCAACCAAAAACCGACAGCGTAGTGTTCACTGTTGGGTTGGGTGGTACCCCCAAACGAGTAGGTACTCAAGTTTGGTTCTTGGATCCCGTACGTACGTTTTAACCCTAGCCACCGGGCATCATACCCGCAAGGCCTATTTCTAATCTATCTTAAAGGTCTTCTAGATAGTATTAGAAACCAATATCAATATATCTTAGAGTTCTTCTAGATATCCTTACAATCCAAATCATTTCATAATCATCAATATATTCATTTCAATTCATAATTTAATCTTCAATAATCATTTTAATCAATGGTTTCATCAAGTCATAATTATAATAATTATTCATCATAATCATCAATCAACATAACATTTGATAATAAACAGTGGTCTAGTCTCGAGTGTTAACACCCGAACTTACCGTCATGCATCACATAATATTTTTATTTGTTCAAAACATTATTTTTACTATAAAAATCATTTTTATAATGATCATAATCAATTGGTATCAAAAATATGATTCTAAAGCAACATTTCTAGAAATATTTTCGGAACAGGAATTGAACTGATTGAGGAAAATCGATTATTTAAATTTTAATAATCCATTAATCATAAAAATTGATTTTTGCTTTTAAAATAATCCATTAAATCAAATAAATCGATTATTGGTTTACAAATAATCGATTAAACAACTAAAATCGATTTTTGTTTCATAAATAATCGATTAAAATCTGATTTCTTGGTACCTCGTCTGAATAAAGTTTTAATCGATTTTTAGGAAGAAAATAATCGATTTTCGGCTACTGTTCATCATCTTCTTCCTCTGGTGAGTTTCGAGTATTATGATTTTAAAACACCAAACTTCAATTAAATTATATAGAATGTTCTCCTAGGTTCATGGATCATTTTAGAATCATTAAAACATATTTTTAACATCAAATTCAAGGTTTATGATTCTTGGTTCTTCAAACATGTCAACAAAACTCAACCAAATGACTATTTATGAACGTAAAAATAACCTACATGAACATTCTAGTCTTTAGATATATCTACGGGCTTACCTTGAAGCGTAAGGGAGGTTTTGACGATTTTCTGGCGAAACTTACGGCGTCTCTATCTCACAGCTCCGGCGACCTCACACAAAGATGACAGCACCACTGCACTCTACTCTCAGCAAGGAACAATATAGAAGGAAGAATGAGTTGTTTTGGTGAAGAAATGGAGGAATTGGCTCTCCTTAAATAGCCAAGTGAAGGAGAAGAAGACACAAGCTTGGTTGCTTCCGTGATTGTGCAGTGATTCGTATTTTGGAATCGGCGTAATTGAACAGGGCACCGTTTGGTATGTAGTCTCTGATTGGGACTAATATTTGGTTCCAGTCGGGGTACACTTTTTGGTCCAACTTTCTCCGAATTGAAATCCGTTTGCACCGTTGCGATCGGACAGTTAAACTCTATCCAATGCTTTAACTTTTATATTTATTTGTAATACTTTTTCTGACATCATATTTTTGGGTGTTTGACTTTAACAGAGTCAAAATTGGTTTAATTGACTTTTATCATAAAAGGTTCTCACATTTAATTTATTCTCATGGTTTATTTCAAGAAATCATTTCAAAGTTCATATCATAAACAATTTCTTCATTTATTCTTAATTTGGGTCTGTTCCCAAATAAGATCACACAATAAATCTACATGCTGTATTTATCTCTATGAGACTTATTCAGATTTTGATATTGGATATCAAAACATATATAACATCGGCCCAAAGCCCAATAATAATTTACTTTAATAAAAAAAAATTTTGTTTAATTGAATATTTAATTCAATAAATATTAGGGTATGTTTTGGGCCGTTACATTTCTTCCCCCCTTAAAGGAATTTCGTCCTCGAAATTCTTCTAAGGTTCAACGTTCAACATTTCGTAATTCTCACACTTAATCATGGTTGTGTCATGTTCATTTGGTTAAACCATAATTAGGTCATTATCCATACGGATATGTACTCTCAATGTTATCAGACTCGTTCTTTCTTCAAGCGATTAACAATCTTTTAAACAAGGCGTTCAGCGGTCCTTCAGTATTAACAACTAAGGTTCCTTTGGAGTGTATAAGGTTGTATACTTGACATACTTTGGACATAACACAATTCCCAATTGTGCAACGTTGATTAACAATATTCTTCCTCTGATTGAAGGTCCTTCACTAGCATTTGTAGTTTCAAGTTCGCGATAGATGTAGTGGAAGATTTGGAGGTTGTTTAATTCATACGTTATAACGTAACTTTCTTAAGTTACTTGAGTTATCTTCATATCGTTCACATAATTCAACAATAATTCGTAAGTACATCAATGGCGGTTAGTGGTCCAAGATTTTCAAGATATGGGATTTATCATCATTTACGAGGAAGTACTGTCGATTGGTTGTACAGTAGCTTGTTATTATCGATTTACATCGAAACATTTCTTTATTCACTTCATGGTAGCTCTCATTTATCGTTTAATGAGTCTTCGTATTCATAGGTGATGACGTTCGAGTAGCGTCTCATGTACGACTTGTCGTATTCAAACTTCTTCTATTAATTTGAAAACATATCTAGATATGATAGCGACATATTCGATTGTAGTACTATGGCTGATCTCGTTTCGAGGGAAAAAAACATCTTCGGTATGTGATTCAATTCATGAATTCAAAGAGTAAGGAATCATACGAGTTCTTACGCCAATAATCACATATAGATTCGGGATTTTAGATTGATCCTCGTGATGTCATTTCTTCTACGGTTATTATGCATATATTCCATGTACGTACACAAAGCCCACCTGATGAAAACCCGTTGGATCCCAAAGGTTCCTGGATGGGCCCACTGTAGTAGGCGCACGAAAGCCTGACCTCCCTACAGTCGTATGCACATGATGATAAACTTAGGACATGCGTCTAGGATGAACATGATGAATGCTTGATATATTTACCTTTGGTCAAAGCCAAGAATACATCAATTAAATAACGTACATAATGTAGATTAACATTTCATGCAAACATACAATCAGATTCTGAGTCAATATGGTCAACGGGACTCGTTCTACAAACTGCCCAGAAATCTGCCCGAGGAACGGTCGACCGTACCCTACTGGCGGTCGACCGTGGGCTACGGTCTGGGTCTGGGACACAAACGGTCCACCTAGGTCTTCCGTCGCGGCTGACGGTTGACCGTCACGGTGATGACCGTCGGAATGGCTGAGGGTACGGTCCACCGTCTGAAGCGACGGTCGACCGTCCCGATGACAGTCTTCTGTCCTTGGCTACGTTTTGATCCGTTTTGAAAGTTTAATGCCTTAATTCTCTTCAGGACAATAATACTAATATTGGTGAATATATTCCTAGTAATTCCTAAGCCAAAATATATAAGTTTTAAGTAGTGAACGTTTTGATGGCTAACCTACGAACATGCATATATTCTACGTAGGTTGCGTACGATATTTCTATGAATATAACGACATGGATTATAACTAAATGTTCTAGAATTAGAGAGGACGACTACTCACCTCTAAACGAAGGGATTGACGGTACGATGAAACGAGATGAACGAACGGTTGACAACGTTGAACGATGAACGATCACGGACAAACTTCTTGCGTGAATTTCCTTCTTTTACCTCCCCGTCAACTCGCCGGAACCTCCTTGCCTGGCAGCTGTTATGGCCGAACAAGGGAAGGGAGAGGAAGAGGGAGTGTGTGAATTATGGATTGGGGGTTACAAATGATGAAGGGGAAAATGAATGGGAAGGGGAGTTTTAAAATACAAGAATTGATGGTGAATAATGAGGGGATTGATGGAGAGTTAAGGGGGGGAATGCATGGGGTGGCGTGTAGATTAAATGGGGAGGTTACCCACCTTAAATTCGTTCCGTTATGTAAAATCTGACCTGAACGGTACGCAGTTTTTCCCCCGAGCGGGTCCGAATTGAGATCTATTTGCTATGTTCATATAATTTTTCTAAGGATTTTATTTTTTCCCAACTCCGGTCTGGAACAGTAATTAATTATTTAAAATAATCAATTCTATTAGGCCGGGTTGCAGGGCGTTACAGTGCATGGATGTTGATAAGGTGAATCAAATCACACCCACCCAGCATGTCAAGAGAGAAATCCAAGGGAGGAAGGTGGGAGGTAACTCCCTATGTTGGATAATCCCTTGACATTTAGGTGTGGTGTGCTACATTCCGTTTCATTAGAAGTGAATATTTGTGTTTTATGAATAAAATTCATACTCTAGAAGGAATAGTTTATCTGTTTGAATTTTGGGTTATTTTCCAAACCTAGTTCGATCTCAAAATTAATTGCATTGTCGAGCTTGGAAAAATAAATGGAGTCTAATGATATAATCCAAATATTTTTCCAATCATTTTTATTTTTCAAGCCTCCAGGATCCACCGGTCAAAATTGGCGGTTTGAGTGTTTAATTCTTTTAGACCAGTTTTCTTGGCGTTACAACTCTCTCCCCTTTAATAAAATCTCGTCCCTGAAATTTAAGTAACGCAAGGAATCTTCAGCGGGTTCTAATCGCATTTTATAATTTTTACGTCATTTTGTTACCGCAATCATTGGCGTGCTTACGAAGTTCATTCTGAGCGGATGGGAAATTAATTGAGAAGAGTAGGATACACGAAAGGTGCATTCGATGTTATCGATTCCTTCATATTATATCTCATTCATTTGTTATTATTAGTATCACCTTCTTGTCAATAAATCTCGATATTGTAGTTCTTAAACAATGATACAATGTCGTTAGTACCCCTTGTACAATGTACAATGTAACTAATTATGTATCATAATTTCAAATGTCCCATGCTCCTTATTGATAACTCGGGTTTGGTTTAGTACTTTTTATTCAATTTTAGGTATTTTTAATATTTTTAGTGTTTAATTTTTAGTAGTTTAGCTTAGTTTTCATTTTAATTCTTATTTTTACAATCTTTTAATTTTCTTTCAAAAATAGTAGCTTTTTAATCATTTTTTACATTTCATTATTTTCTTCATTTTATTATTTTTCCTAACCCAAGTTATCAGATATCTTAATTTTTGGAGAAAAACGTAGCAAAATGCCAAAATGCAGTTCAAGTTTGGAAAGAAGATATTGATTTTGGGCTAGAGCCCAAACCCATCATCAAATAAAGAAGTCCACCAGGCTTGTCCTTTTCATATTTACGCACAAAGGAAAAAAAAGAAAAAGAGAATAGAACCGGCGACTTCTTCTTCACCACAGCGAAGACCATCTCAAGGTCGACGCTCCAACGTCTCTCCCTGAAATTCGCCCCTCATTCAAGTCTCCAACGAATATATAATTCTTGCTATAAATTGGCGATGAGTCGAAGCTCCAAAGGGGGGGAAAAATATAGAGCCGTGGCTCTAGGCCGCGGCAACTGAAATTAAGCCGCGCACCAGAGGAGGAAGCAGACGGCGGCGGACCACTGCTCGCCGGCAGACGACGATGGTTGGCAGCAACTTTTCTTCAAGCTCCAATCCTTTAATTTCTTCATCTTCTTCAACAATTGGTAACCCTATATGTTATTTCTTCAATTTTTTCTCGAGTTCTTTGTAAAGTGTTGTTTTTAGTTTAATTTTTACATTTTTGTTTATTTGTTTGTGTTAATTTCATAAATTCCAAAATGGTTGGTGTTCTTTTATGGGTATTTTCTTTAATGTTCATATATAATCCCTTATGAATGAGAATTGATTCTTTCTTATTTACTTTAATTATTGCACAAGTTGTTGATTTGATTGAATGGTTTCAAATTCATAAGTAGGTTGTTATGTAAAATTCAGTTTTTGTTGAAGCCATTTTAGCTCCATAAGATAGTTAAATGAACTCCGAATTCATACGTGTTTCTTTGTTGTGCTTGTGTTCGTTGATTTTAAGGATTTTGGACTTCTTAGCTCCATAAGTTGATTCATTTTCCTTAGAATTCGTTATAGAGTGATTTTGTTACGTTATGTGTTTGTTTTCCGTTTTCTTTAAATTGAGATTGTTTAAGTGCAATAAACAATTCTCATTTTATTGAAAATATGTTGTGTTCCTCTAAGTGAATAGAAAAAACGTCATTGGTTTGAGAAGTTCATGGAAATCTGTGAAATGTGCTCATCATTAGGAGAAAAAGTTTATTAAAATGCATAGGGTATTGGCGGTTTGTGAATAGACTATGTATGAGAGTTAGAATGAAAAAAAATTCGCTCTTTTATAAACTTTTTCTATAGTGGAAGTATGTTTTCATGCTTGATTGGTGAGTTGGGGTTCTAAGGTATATTTCAAAATGGGCCTTTGAATTGCATGACTCCGGGCCCACACCTCTCAACTGTTAGGAGGTATAGCACCAATTCCTTTACTTAACTGAGCCGAAAACTAACCAAAAAAGATAAGAATTCACGAATTCAATGCATTATATAACAGATGCACGGATAATATGCACATTACAAGCAAAACACAAGCAAGAGAAAAATTTAAAACAAAGCCCAAGAACCGCCACAAAGCACCCAATGGAAAGTTGGAGAAGTTGATTATCTTTTGAGCTTGTTTTTCCCCCATTTTATCAAAAAAAACTAAAAAAAAAATAAGAAAATACATAAAAACCAAAAATATTTACTTTTCATCCAACAACCCCCCCCCCTTTGTGTTGTGTTATAAGTTATATTATAAGTTCTTTTTTATATAAGTTATATTTATAAGTTTTCATATTTATTTAGTTATAAGTTTTAGTTATAAGTTTTATAAGTGTTATAATATGTGTAGTAGTTAGTTTATTTTGTTTAGTGACAATGTGTGTGCATGCTAATTTGATTTCAAAAGTACAAACTTTCTCCGTGGGATCGACCCTTACTTGCCCTAGCTATAGTTTTTATTTGATTATATTTTGGGGGTTAGCTAAGGTTAATTTATAAATTTTTAATTTATTTTAGACCGCACGACAAGTCCCCAACACTTATATAACATGATAGAGCATGAAGTCAACACTTTATTTATCTATTTTATACCCTCAAGCCGTGTGGTAACAAAGTGTAACGCTCTTATTCTTCTAGGACTACAGCCCCATCCAGGCAAGAGTATTAACTCTATATCAAGTAAGACACTTGAATAACAACAACTTTTATAGAGTTTTGAAAGTAATCACATTAAACCTTCATATCTATCAATTATTTCAAAAGTCATGTCGAACAAGACTCGTAGAGTACTTTTAGTATAATTATTGAATACAAGACAACCTTTTTCCTTTCAAAG